CCTAGGGGGAATTTTTAGTGGGGTTTTAAGAATAATTTTAAATTGACACAGGCCATATCAAATATTTCATTTTAATTAGGTTTTAAAGTGGGTATTTTTATCTCTGTATTTGTTTTACCAGGCTGTCAGCCGCCCTGAGTCCGTAAGGAGAAGGGCGGGATAAAAATCCAAATAATAAATAAATAAATAAATAAATAAAATAAATAATTTAGCTCAGAATCTTCCCTCTATTCCCTCTCACTCAACCCCTGCAACAATCAAAGATGTCAACAAAAGTCATGCTTTCCTTAAGCACTTTCAGAGGGAATCATACTGTCAGAAGAAACTTTCTGACTTCTGAACAAGCTGATATCTAACACAGATATTATCATCCGGCAGGAAAACCTGTGGTTCAGAGCTTCCCAGCTGTTTCAGCTCATCTGCACTTAGCTTCCTTGTCACTTCCTACTTCAAGCATTCATCACAACAGGAACACAAATGCTGCTTTGCAGCCTCAGATGTTATCTGGGTGTCTACAGGACTCTTATAACCACCCCTTTCCAATCCAGACCAAGGGCACTTGCCAAGCTGGATGTCTATGGAATGACAGATGTTTCCACTGCCATCAGGGGCTTAAGCTTGGCCAGTACAGTGACAGAAAATGATGCGGAGATTCAGCAACTGCTCCCAGGATTCTGAGCGCAAATTTTCCTAAATACCGAAGAATCAGAACAGCTTCCCAATTCTTGGCAATGGTCACACTGTGGAAAGTTTAGCAGTTGAAACCTATTCACTGGAGGGTGAGAAAACAGCCCTTTATTGACCTTTCTGTATTACAAAGGGTTGTGGGGACCTGCTTTCTCCCAGGGACACCCTTGGTGCGGGGGACAATCCCGAGACTGCAGAAAGGAGATGAACTTACATCAATCTCGCCATCATCAATTTCTCCATCTTCTTCCTTCTTCTTCTCCTTGGGAGGCTCCTGCCCATCCTTCTCATTGTTGCTTTTGGGGGTAGGCTGTTTTTCATCTCCTGGAGGCTCATCTCCCTTTTCTTCCTCTTCCTCCTCCTCCTCCCCCACAGCTTTGTCAGCCTCATCGTCTGCAGGAACAGTGCTAGGCTCCTCGGGAACCTCCTCATCATAGTCCAGTTCATGCTCGTCCAGTTCCCGAATGACTGAGGAAGCTTCATCACCCAGGTCATTTGCCCCCTCTTCCTCTTGCTCAACGCGCAGGGAGGACTTGAGTGGTTGGCTTTGATCATTACGATCAGAGTCCGGAGACTTGGTGCTTAAGTGCTCCTCTTCCTCTGAGGGAAGGCCTTCCTCCTCCCCATGGCTCAATGTTCTAGTTACCCTGTCTGCCCCTTTCCCCAAGCAGGCACCCTGTCCTTCCTCCCCATCCTGCTCTGAACTACTCCCTTTCAGGATTTCGTCATCAGAGGGCTGGTGGTCATCCTCCTCTTCGTCTTTCTCACTGGGAGAGTGGGGGGTTTGCTCAAGTGTTTCAGAAACATCCATCAGGACCCACTAGTCTGCAACAGAGAAAAGGCTCAGATAAATAAAGGACAACAGTTGATTCATAGCTGCTTCTTAAGTACAGATTGTTAAGCTGTCATGTCAACATTTTTAGCTTGCAATACCCTTCACCATCCCATATTTAAATGCTGGCCCACAGGAATAAAAGAGCATGGATGAGATTCTCAAAGAAGAGCTGCTTTGTAGCATCTAAGGCTGAAGTAAGTCAAAGCCATTCATAAATCATTCATTGACAATTATTTCCTGACAAGATTTTAATTTTTAAACAGAAATTGTCCCTTTGTGACCACAAACGAAGCAATCTGTCTATAAATGAGCCCATCCAAAGTTAAAGTGAAGAGGGAGATAGAGACTCCCCTCCTGCAGCCAAGCTAAGAATCCATCCCATCACCCCGTCAACACAACCGTCCACCTTACTACCAGCAGGGGATGATGGGATATAACCCCACAGACGTTGGAAGGGACCACAGTTCCAGCATCGCTCACCCCCTTTCCAGACGGGTCAAAACAGGGACCCCCCCCACCCCGGCCAAGGAGGACGGGAGCGTGCAGGCCGAGACTGCAGCCCCCCCAGGGCAAAGGTTGCCCCCGGCCCTCCCCTTCGGGGGATCAGGCCAAGCCCCGAGCCCATCCGGCCTGGCGGGCTGCACAGGATGGGAGTTGTAGTCCTGCTGCTCGCGTGTGCCCCAGAAGATCGCTCTGAGGGCGCCGGGGCGCGGAGGCCGCAGCCCGCTCGTTGGTCCGGGGCTCAGGCGTCAGGCCGGGCCTCCCCGGAGGAGCAGCGAAGCGACAACCAGCGACGCCCCCGGCGCCTTCCCTGCAGGCCCCACGCGGCCCCGGCAGCCCCGGCCCCCGCGGCCCGTAGGCGGGGCCCGCCGCTCCTCACCTGGCCGAGCGGGAGGGGGTCGGGGGGGAGCGGGGAGGCGGCTCCGGGAGGCGGCGGGGCGCGCGACAAGGCCTCTACTGGCGGCAGAGCAGGGCGGCCATGGGGTGACGTCATGGACACGCGACGCCGCCAGCGGCGGCGACGGCCTTCCCACCTGCTCAGCGCGCCTGCGCCGCCCGGGGAGCGCGAGGCCAACGAGGAGCGGGAGGGAGGGAGGGAGGGGGGGGCGGAGCTGCTTCAGTGAAAGTGACAGCCAGGCGCGGCCCGCCCCTTAGAAGCCTGGCTTAGCCAATCGGAAGACGGAAGGAGGGAGAGAGAGAGAGAGAGAGAACGCCTGCGCGTTCCGGACTCGCTGCCGGACTGCCGGAGAGCCTGGCGGGTTCCATGCGTTGCCGGTTGGGAGGGATGGGCTTTGTAGTCCGATGGATGTGGGAACGCAGGGCTTACCGGTGCGGTCGATTGGCGGCGCGCACCGGAGGGTGGCATGCAAGACGTCGGCTGAGCATGTGCAGAGCGCCTGGTTCCTTCCCGGGCAGGAGCCGAGCGCACCGAGGCGCCCACCAAGGGGAGAGGTCCGGGTGGGAGGCGAATGTCCCGATGCTCCTCGCACACCCCCCCCAGCAGCCCCTCTCTCGGGCTGGGTCAGGAAGGCACGGGAGTCTCGGCGCCTTCGCGGCCGCAGCGGTGAGACGACCATGCCCATGCTCCGCAGCCAGGTCGTCCCCGAAGAGGGCGGAGTTCCTGGACCCAGAATCCGCTGCCCTTGGGATCTGCTCCAGGGCCGGAGTTGAGAGCCCGGATGCGCAAGTCCCGAGCCGATCCCTTGAGTGGGCACCGGCGGAGCCCCGCGGCGGAATCGGGGCAGCCCGACCCGCGTCTTTGCTCGGGGCCCGGCGGGTCCGGACCCCCGGCTCCGTGCAGGGTTTCCGCCCGGCTCCCAGCGCCTTCCCCGCTTCCCCCCCGTGAGCCGAGCGGAGGAGCCTCGTGTCCGCCCCCCAGTCTGGCCGCGGCCAGAAGGAGGCGAGGCTGGCAGGTCGGGCAGCTCCGCCACCAACGGCCGCCTTCAAAAGACCTTCAAAACGACGCGGCGTTTTATTCCAGCGTTGCTAACGCTCCTTCCTAAAACTTCTCTGCTCGGAAAGAAACTCGGCCATCCGGCCCTATTAAGGTGCTTGTGAAACTCGACGGAAGAGGGAGCTCAGACCCAGCAGTGCAGCCCGGTTGCAGAGTTGATCTATTCTGGGCAACCCGTGGCGGAAATATTTGCTGTGGAAAGCCCCATAAAAGAAAGAACATTTCCTCTGTGGGGAGACAGGAGACGGGTTTGCTACAGAGATTCCTCTGGAAGAACCATCAGCTATGAAAATTACGGTGGTGGGGGTGGGCCTCGGAGAAGGCACAGCCCACTCGCTATTCATTCCTAGTCTGTTAGTTTTAATTCAGTTCTTATTATAAATAACTCAAGGCAGTGAACATACCTAATACTTCTTCCTGCTCCTGTCTTCCCCACGAGAACCCTGTGAGGTGAGGTGGGTTGGGTTGAGGGAGAGGGACTGACCCAAAGTCACCTAGCCAGCTTTCATGGCTAAGGCAAGACTAGAGCTCGCCGCTTCCTGGTGTCTAGCCTGGTGCCTTAACCACTAGACCAGGCAACCACTTGCTGTCATTTGGCCCTCATTTCTTTAAACACCTTGGAGGATCAAAGAAACACTGGAGGCAGGAGAACAAGAGCCCATATCCTTGAATCTGCCACTTAATTATGTTTGTAATAAGTTATAAAGCCTGTTTTCTGGAAATCCCATGTCACCATTTCTTTTAGACAAAAGACAAAGCTTAGTTGAAGAGAAACATTGGGGTGAACATGGGGCTTCTGCTTGTTATCCAAATGTGAATCTAATGATCATCAAACTATGATGTGTCACCTGACTGGTGTTAAATATATAAGTAGCTATAAATGTGAAAATCTATATTAAAATTGTGACCTTATAGAGACATTCCTGGAAGTAAAATGCCATAACCCAATGAAATTTATTTCAGAATGAGCTTCCTATAACCTTGACCTTTCCCCTAAGTAACATTTACAGTACTTCTGGTTTGCCATTTTTAAAAAGTAGGTTTTCTAATTCTTGCAAAACTTCTAAGGTAACTTTCAGTTTTTCCCCTCATTGGACTAGAATGTACTGCACAATATGGGGGCAGGGGTATCTTCAAACCGAACCAACAAATCAAAGATGGCCTGCTGAGAATTATCTGCAGGTCTCCTCACGAAATGAACAGAAGCTGAAATGATCATTTTTAAGGGGAAAAAAATCCATTATACATTAAAGAAAGAGATTAGGTTTGAGCTGGAATTCCTAGAGCTTTTGTTTCATTAGCCCGAAGAACAAGAGCTGGAAGTATGATTAGAGTTTCTTTCATGAAATCCAGATATAGAGAGTGAAATTCTGCACTGGGTGAAAGGGAGATACTTTTGAAGGACCTGATAGCATGCCAGTTTTGGAAGGCAATAACTTACTGCAAGTTTCCCTGGATTCTTTGAATTTTAGCCTTCCAGCTGACAATAGTAAGGACATTAGATGCAGGATCTGAAAATGCTTCTTAATTTACAGTAGATACTCCATCTCTCCCCCCAAGTAGATTTATTTATTAAATTTATTTGGTGCCCACCTTAGTTGGAATGTTCAGTTAAGAGATGTGGAATAGGTTGAGTTTGGGGGGCATGAAACAGCGAGGGAGGGCCGTCTGCCAGTTTCCCATGGTCTTAGTTGCTTTATCGATAGTGGGACATTCATTTCCTTGAGCTAAAACCTGTCCACATCTGGCACAAGGAAAGCACAAAGATGAATCATTTTCAAATTAGGCAGGCCATCCCTTTCATATATCGTTGATCTTTCTCTACCATCCATCCATCCATCCCTTTTATCAAGTGAGAGAGGGAGAGAGAGATAATTTCACATGATTCCCTTTAAAACCCTAACTTGCTCAGAACTCCTCAATCATTGTCCATGCTCATTGGGCTAAAAGTCACTCCTGATAGCGAGATGGGCAGCATATAGATTTAATAAAACAAACACACAAATACATACATCCTACCTGGACTGAACCATTTACTAAGTTGAAAGAGGTGGGGACAAAAATTTGCTTCCTAAGACAGAGTTCCAGGCTCCTACAGGTAGGAAGACTCATGCCCGGGCATCGTGCCCAGCACTAAGAAGAAACATTGCAAATGTCAGAGAGAGGCAGAAGTTTCCAGTATCTGTGTTTGCTGGTGTCTTTCAGCACCCTCTTTCAGGGACAGCACCACAGTTGGCATTCCCTGCATGCTTTCCTCACTGGAAGATGTCCGCCAATAGCCCCCCCCCTCACATGGACATCTAAACAAGGAAAAAAGTAAAATCCAAGGACCTCCTTCAACTGTTGCTTCAAAAGCGTGACCTGAAAGTACTACTCCCTTTGAGGAACAAGAATTAGAAATTCTGGAATACTTGGCTCATTGTTATGAGCAACAAGCCCTACCCAGCGTTACTTATAAAGATGTATTTTGAATGCACAGAATGAAAGACTGTTGAATTTACCAATAAAGGAGAATATTTGTAGCTCAGGGTTGAAATGAGGGGTCCTTGGTGTTCCCTGTTTGAAAACAACCAAGCTTGGAGAGCACAAAGGACCCCTCACTCTTGAATTTCCCAAGTACTTCAAAAAAATTTAACCAAATAATCAGTTATCAGGACACTGGCATACTGTCAGAATCCAATTATATTTCATCTCTAGTATAGTTGATACCTTTTGGGGTAAAGACGGAAGAGACCTAAGACAGTATGCTACTTCCCTTCCCCCACTTGTTTCCCCGAAATACCGGGAGTGAAGGAAGTCATATGAAGTTTCCCTGACCTACACCTATGGTGGTTTTCCTGATTGTTATTGTTAACCCCGGTAATTGTTTCATGTAATCCTTTCTGAAGTCTCTCCTCCCAGCAGTGAGGAAAAGGGGGTGGGAATGCAACGCCTGGAACTGTCGCTGGAAGAAAGGGGGTGATGGGGTGGGGCTACTGGGGGATCCCTTAAAACCTTGAATGGGAGAGCTTGGACCCCAAGT